CAGAAGACCAGGCTTATTATATGCTCTGCATTCCCTAAGCCGAACCTCCTGAATTCCTCTTTCCATCCTTGTTGTCTAACCTGCACCAAGCAACTTTTAATACTTAAGAAAGGTGTACCTCCAACTTATTTACGTCATATGTTACATAAAACCAATTCACTTTTAATTTTGTCTTGTCACTTAACCAGCTAATAATCTCTGAAATTTGTTTTCAAACAAATAATATCTCAGTGTTCACACACCCCTGCCTTTTGTTTGTTTTGTGTTAAGGTCTGGTTCATATATAATAAAATCTACCCTCTTTAGATGTATAGTTCTGTGAGTTTTGACAAACTTATATACTTGCAGAACCACAAACAAGATCTGGAATATTTCCGTCACCCTAAAAAGGTTCCTTGTGATCCTCTGTCGTCAATCTCATCCCTTTGTCGCCAGAGTTTTGCCTTTTCTTGAATGTCATATAGATGAAATAATACAGTAAATAGTTTTTATATCTGGCTTTTTTCACTTACTACAATGTTTCTGAAATGCAACCATGTCATTCATGTGTCAGTAGCTCGTTCCTTTTAATTCCTGAGTAGTTTTCAACCATATATATCGTGATTTATCCATTCACTAGTTCATAGACATCTTCAGTGTTTCCAGTTTTGTAAATTATGAGTAAAGCTTCTCTAAACATTTGTATATGGGTCTTTGTTTGGACATCTGTTTTCATTTCTCCTGGGTAAAAACCTAGGTTGGGGTTGTTAGGGCATATAGTAAGTGTATGTTAGGGCATATAGTAAGTGTATAAAAAACTGCCAAATTGTTTCCAAAATTGTTTTACCATTTTGCATTCAGACCAGCAATGTATGAGACTTTCATTTGTTCCAAATCCTCATCACCATTTGATATTGTCTTTTTAAAAAAAATAGCTGTTCTGATATAAAGTAATATCTCATTGTATGTATTGTTTTAAAGCAATTGTTCATGCTAAATTCAGGCACAGATATAATCACTCTCACAGCACTGTGGTAGATCATATTTTTCTTCAAAATCCTTCTATCTGTGTCTTTTGTCATGTGACTTTGCAGTTTTTCTCACTAAAGGCAGGGTATGTTTTCCTGCTTCACTGATGTGGGGTCACATGCTTTAGCCAATAGGTTGTGGGTGGAAGTAATAGTTCTGACTCTAGCCTCAAACGGCCCTGTAAGTTTCCACCCATCTTTCTGGTGTTTTTTTTCCCCATTGTCATAAGAAAAATGTGTTCTGACTGGATCAACCCTCAGGTGAAGGGTGTGAGAGTATATTTTTATTGTTTTAAGCCTCTACATTTTGGGATAGTTTCTTACACAGCATTGTTATGGCAATAGTCAACATATACAGCTTATTTTACTGTATGGCAAACTCTGTTGGGTGCTTACCCATAAATTTGCTTCCTTTATAAATACTTTGAATAGAGATTGCACAAAAGAAAAAAATATATATCCATCCCATAAGCACTCTAAAAGATCTCCCAAATCACTAGTCATCAGGGAAATGCAAACCAAAACCAAAAATACCATTGCATACCCAATAGAATAGTAAAAATTAAAAGACTGATAATACCAAATGCTGGTGAGAAATATGGAACAATTGGAACTCTCAGACACCACTAGTGAGGGTATAGAGTAGAACCCTTTGGAACACTGTTTGGCTTATTGGACATTTACATATCTTCTTTTGTACATGTATTATATACTTCAATAGAGTAGATTAAAAGTTTCCTTTATTCTCACTCGCAGAACTCCAGTTTTGTTCAGAGTGGACCTATGCTTCCATGTAGCTCAAGGTGACTATCTGACATGATCTTGGCCTGTGAAATGTAAGAGGTCCCCTACTGGGGCTTCTAGGAAAGCTCTTTGACAGAGCAGATTCAGGTGGTACATTTCTTTTGCCGTTTCTTTTTTCTTACATGTAAAGAAGAAGCGATGCTGGAATTGCCATCCTGACACCATGAGATGACAAGCACAAAAAACAAAAAGCATACATGAAGGGTGGAAAAATAGAAGGAGCATAAGACAAAATATAGTCATGTGACCCTTAACATTCTGAGAATTATGTCAGGTGATTTTGTCATGTGAATATCATAGAGCGTATGTACAGAAACCTAGATGGTATATCATACTACACACCTAGGTTATATGGTATAGCCTGTGCTCTTAGGCTAAAAACTGTGCAGCATATTACTATTCACTATTCAAAACAACACAAGACAAAATCGAGCACAAGAGGAAATGATGCAATTAAGAGATGTGGTAAACATGAGATGTATGAGGCTGCTGGTGGTGTGACATGGCATACTGTTTTACAACAAACACTTTTTTTTGCAAGTAGAAAGAGTACACTCTGAAATAACAATAAGAAATATAGTATAATAAATACATAAAGCAGTAACATAGTCGTTTATTATCATTATCCAATATTGTGTATTGTACAAAATTGTATGTATATTACTTTTATATGACTGGCGGTGCAGTAGGTTTTGTTGGGTAAATAATGATCTAGTAGTTTGAGCTCTCTCATCTATTTTCTCTTCATTTCAAAATAACTTGTTCTCTAGGAGTACTTCCTGATCTTTATACCTTCAACGTGGAAGGTATGACCTTGTTTCCTCCAGATACTCTGGGCTCTTTCTTCCTTAATCACCCTATAGCAACTAAAATCTCTTCCTT